GAAAGGGAATTGCAGCAAAAAACATTTGAAAACTCCTGTTTTATGGGATGTACAAGTGCAGTAGAAAGACTTTCCAAAGTAATTAACAAAACAGAATGGTCCTAGAAATGCAGTGGGCACTGGCTCCGGGTGCTCGGCCTCCTACCCTATGGTCTCATTTATGTCCCTTCATTCTGGATTGTTTTCTTCTCTCTTTCTTTTTTTTTTTTGAGTCTCACCACGTCATCCTTGGTAGAGTGCCGTGACGTCACAGCTCACAGCAACCTCAAACTCTTGCGCTTAAGCAATTCTCTTGCCACAGCCTCCCAAGTAGCTGGGACTACAGGCGCCCACAACAGCGCCTGGCTATTTGAGGTTTTTTTGGTTGCGGTTGTCATTGTTGTTTAGCAGGCCCGGTGGAATGGGAACACTTTAGTATTCTGAAGGAAGTAGTGGCATCCTTGAAAAGGAAGTAAGAACATTTCTGTGATTAAAGAAAAAAGTGGGCACAAATCCAAGGCAATAGTGATGAGGCGACTGGGGCCCTGCCTGACTCTCCAAGCTGGCCTCAGAGCTGGCCAGGAGCACCCCGTGTGTGTGGTCGGCTGGCTCTGTGTCCCCATTGTCCATTGGCAGCAGGGCTTCCTCTAGGCCCCTTCCCCCTTCACACACTCAGCATCCCAGATTCTGCACATTTCCACAGCTGACAGGCATCTGGTCCTGTTAGCTCCTGACCAAGAAATTCAGAGGCACCCTCCCCAGCGGCTACCCACTCCCAGTCCTAGGATTTCCACGTTCCTTCCCCAAGCCCAGCGTGTCACAGCTCATGCTGTAGACCAGGGACAGGGTTACAAGCCAGTCAGCAGCGGGGAGAGTGTCTCCAGGCCCAGTTTGAGAATGCAGAATGTTATTGCACAAAGAACTCCCTCAAACCCATGGATGGCTCTGGAGAGAGGAAATTAGGAAACAGAGGATGCAGAAGGAAAAGCAGACGGGGAAGAGCCTCCCAGGTGCCGGTGGCTGAAGATGCCTTCTGCTCCCAGCTGGGCTCCTGCCTGTTCTCTGGGGCCTACAGCACCAGGTGGCTCGCAGTGGAGGGGACGATGGTAACCAAGATGGACCAGCTGGCCCCAGACCCTCCCTGTCCCTGCTGTGTCTGACATCATCTGCCTGGCTCCTCCTACGTTTGCTTGGACATCCTTGTCATTGGGCTCGTAGGGGTCTGGCTGGGGGCAGGAGGGGACATGTGGGGCAATATGTGTGGCAATATGTGAGATGTTCAGCCCAGGTCTCTATCAGGCATGGAAATTTGGGATCATCCCTACGGCCATCATTCTGGGCACCAAGGCAGCTTGGCTGGGCATGGTGAGCCTGAGCACCAGGGGCTCCCTCTGGCTGAATTGAGGGCAGCCTGGGGCATCTGATGCCTCAGCCCTGAGCCACAGGGTGTGGGCTGGGGAGGCGGCTGGAGGCAGGTTGGGGGGCTGGGACATGAGTTGGACCTACCTTTCCCAGGTCACTTTCCTCTGTGACCTACTGTTGCTGTACGTGGACAGAGAAGCCCATTTCTACTTGAGGACAAATTATGAGGAGGCTTGCTGGTATTGGATCCTGCCCGGGAGGAAGTGTCCGCTAAGACCTGTGGAATTGGCATGACCAACTGCAGAAATGCAAAGTTAGGAACGACATATAGAAAGAGACATGAGACACAGAATAAAACTTTCAAAGGTGGGAGCCCAGGGGACCACCGCCTGTTTGTAGGCTCAGTGAGTGACCTTGAGTCTCTGTTGCACTCAACTTTTATTGAAATTTATCTGCCCAGGTGGTCAGCTGAGGGAGGGAACAAAGACACCTGCAGTTTCTACGAGTGGGCATGTCAGCTCCTATTGTTATTATTATTAACTTCAAGGATTTGAGTAGTTATGGGGAATCTGGAACTTGAGCCTTGTGTGGAGGAAGCCTCCGGTCTGAAGTCACATACATAAGATTCCTAGGGAGGTGTTAAGCTTCTCTAGTTCACTGTGGAGCAAAATACCACTGGTGTTAATCTCCTCTGAGGAATCGGTAGGAGAGAGGCTTTTGCCTCTCCTCACCACCACAGAGGATTTTCCTCTGGGATAAGGAATGCAAGCCCTCCTGCCCATATCTCAGGGCTCGAGCTGTTTCCTTGGTCTCTGCCCCAGCCAAATGCAAATCTCCAAAGGGGACAATGGGTATCTGCTTTGTCTGTTTAAAGGGCAGGAAACGACCTAGAAGTTGTATCTATTCTAGTCTTCTCATAAACTCTTTTATGACTGTTTTCTTCCTCAGAGTGTTCACAGACTCTATAGGGTATTGGTGTAAGCGGTATTCTCAATAGGCCAGAGTTTCAGGAAAAGGCCAGAACTTTGTTCAGATAAGAAATTTAGCAATGGCTAGCTTAAAGGTAAACTAGCTGACTTTTCTTTGTTCCGATTTCTTCAGCTTACTTTTTAATTTTCCCTTTTTCTGGGGATGCCCTCCCCTGCCAAGAATGGGGTCTTTGGTCCCCATTCTTTCTGCATCCTGGGGTCCTCAAGCTGAGGCCGCTCTGCCCAGGCACTGAGTGGAGTCACGCTTCAGGGGATGTTGGCCCAATCTCTGACCTGCTGTCCTTGTCTGCAGGCAAAGGCCCCAAAGCCAAGTGCCAACTCTCTGTGGAGCAAGCTGCCCAAGTGCCTTAGACAGGGCTCAGCACCTGCCCCCATGGCCACTTCTGCTGGGAGCCAGACACCAACACCAGGGTGGCCCTGTCTAGGCTCTGGCACCCACTCATCGGCCTGTTCCTGAGGCCTGTCGCCATTTCCTGCTGGTTGGTGGGGGGGGGCTGGGAAGGGCGAAGGCACTGCTTAGGCCGGGGGTTGTAAGGGTGAAGGCCACCCTCAAGCTCCCAAACAGAGGGTCCCTCCCGACTCCACTTCTGGTGGGATACTGTCTGGGAGCCACAGGAGCTGGTTTTGTTTGAAGCCCTGCAGGGAAACATGAGCTATGGAGACTGGGAGAGCTGTGGGACTCCTGTGGGACTCCTGCTGCGTCTGTGTCTGGAGTCTCCCTCCCAGACTCTGTCCCCACTGTTCCTAGCAGAGTTCTGCTTGCAGCTGTCACCACTGAGCCTCCTCCCCTTCCCTGTACCCCTATCCCAGGTAGAGACCTCACCCTTCCAGCTGCCCAGTGGATAAGGCAGAAAAAGGCCTGGGAGATGGGTCCTGCCTAGGACAGATGTCATCTGTGGAAGAGGGTGGGGAGGGCAGAGGATCCACAGCAGGCTGGCCCCTGGTTTTACCCCAGGAATCCTCCCGGAGCCCTGAATTCTGCCTGATAAGAGAACTTTCCTGGGCTAGGCACAGCAGCTCAGGCCTGGAATCCTAGCACTCTGGGAGGCTGAGGCCAGTGGATGACCTGAGCTCAAGAGTTCCAGATCAACCTGAGCCAGAGTGAGACCTTATCTCTAAAAAAAATAGCTGGGCATTGTGGCGGGCACCTGTAGTCCCAGCTAACTGGGAGGTTGAGGCAAGAGAATCGCTAGCACAAGAGTTTGAGGTTGCTGTGAGCTGTGACACCTCTGCATTCTACCAAGAGTGACATAGTGAGACTCTGTCTCAAAAAAAAAAAAAAAGAGAGAGAGAGAGAGAGGGAGAGAGAAATTTCCCAGTAGGTAGAAAGACGCAGAAGAGCTGGTAGGGCCCAGGCCCTCTCTTGGTCCCAGAGTAGGGCAGGGTCACCCACCCACAGAGGCGAGAGGCTGTTGTCAATCATGGGTACCTGGTGATCAGGGCGGGCTGGGGAGGCTCAGGGTTGGGGATCATCTGACACCAGAGACTCAGCAAAGCCCTTGGGGTTCCTGCTGCCTCTCAGTCCCCAGAGCTGTGTCCATTGGAGGTGGGCTCTGAAGGGCTAGGGTGGGAGAGCATAGCCCATGAGGCCTCGTTGTCCTTGGGGCCTAGAGAAAGCTGATGTCATGGCTGGACAAGTTGAGTAAAGCTGGCAATGCCAACAGTGTCCTGTGTCGTCCTTACAGGAAGGAACGGAAGGGGGAGGCATCTGTGGTGGACGGGGCACAGCCATGGGAGACCAATGTGGGGGGTGCAGGGTTGGCCAGCAGCTGCCCTGCCCACCATCATCCAGGATGGGGCCCTAGAGCCACCAGATGGGCTGGAGCAGGCACTTGTGTGGCTCTACACAGCTGAGCACTGTGTACCACATGGAGCCTTTATCTCAGAGCCCTTGAAGAGAGGGTAGAGAGAAGGCCTGGGTGTGAACCTAAAAATAGCTGCTTCCTCACTCCGCATGGCAGCACCCCTAGGGTGGTCTGTGCGGCTGTGTGGGGATGGGCATGGCTGTGTGTGATGTGCCTGTGTACTGGGGTGCATTTGTGTCCCTGAGCAGGCCTCAGGCACCTGCCACCCTCTTTGGGAATCCAGGAAAACTAAGGAGAACCTGGAACCCCACTGCCATTTCAAGGCAGCCTCCTTGGGGCCCAAGATCTGCTTCTTGAATCATCTCCTGGGGAGGATAGGTGG